TGAAATTGGGACATAAGGTAATCACATGCATTGTCTGACGACGAACTTGTGAATGACTGTAGAGCAACACTTTCTTTGTTGACACGTGGTTGTAAAGGTGGCTGGGCTGAACGACCTCGTTACTGGAACCGAGAAGTCAGTGCTCATTGAAATCACAGGAAAAACTCACAGCGTATACCAACTAACCACAGACCCCGCAGAGCGGCGGGGCAGAACAAGTTCACAGAAGCTGATTGTTCAAAAAAGTTATGCACTCAACTTTACGCCATCGTCGCGGACTCATTTGTTTCAACAACTGCTTATTCACTGTCAACGTCTGCTACAAATATCTACAACTTATGGTGAGCGTAAAGCAAAGAAACGGTCCTTAATTGCTTATATTATAGAATCCTTTTGCTGCCGTCCCCATATAGTAGATTTGGCAATTTTTATAATTAAGCACTTTGATGTCAAAAATCTGATAAGCCTGGCTCGTAGCCCGAACCTCGCTGTAAACGACTTCCTTCCTTAGGCCTATTTCGTAATAAGACATCTTTCTTAATTGAAGTGGGGAAAAGTGGTGAAAGGTGAGTTATCTCACTTAGAAAGCGAAACCAGGAAAGGATTGAATCCTGTCACCTACTGCACATAGACGGGTCATAGACGGAGAGGAAACCCAAGCAAATTCCCTAAAATGGTTGAAAGTTTTTGCTGTGCTTTCTTAAATGAATACAAGTCCTCTGTGTTTGCCCTCATGCTTTTGCTTCCACGACTTTACCACACAGCAAAACCATTGGATCAGACCGTTGGTAGCAATCCTTTGAAAACTATGAAATCGATCGACCAAATATTGCAAGATTCATGCTTGAAGAGCATTACCCCACTGAAAAGTCCAAACGTGAAGTACCCAGGCAGTTCCACGCCTCTGGCAGAAGGAGGATCTTTAAAAGATTCAGAGTCTTTTACAAAAATTCTCTCCCTACCGGTTATGGAAACTGAAGAGGAGAACGAATTTCTGCGATTGACATTTAGTCGCGGTGATAGCTGTACCTCTCGAGTATCCGAACCCTCGAATCGGAGTAAAGCTGTCACGAGCGCCTTCCTCCTTCATCTAGAATATCATTTCAGCACATTATTTCGGTACTTCCTTGAAGTACAATATTTTCGTTCAATAGATCAAGAGGAGGTTTGCTTCAGAATGAACACTATCATCGCCGTATTGGCGATCGTTGGAGCTGCGTATAGTGAAGTGATCAAGAACCAGTGGCTATCACTGGATTGGCAAAACTTCTTGGACAGAGGGACACCTCCATGGACGACCACTCCACCGCAAAAACACCTCTCCAAACCTCCTCCACTGAAGACTACACCGCAAGCTGTACAAGGTACTGAGTTGAGATTCAGAGTTTTTCTAGGACACACCACAACCTGGCTAAATCCCAGTAGTCGGGGGTAACAGATGATCTACTGATACACCTAAGGAAGGTGCAAATTATAATAGAAAAATCATAGTCAAAAAACTTTCTGTGTCAGGAGGTCACAACATGGGGCAAAAAGAAAAACCAGAACAAATTGAGGTGCCCGCCGAAATCCCCAAAAAATGTATAAGAGATTCTTCTAAATACCCCATTCAGGGATGGTTGACTTCACGAGTTGGTATGCCTTTCATAAAGATTTCATTCGAAATTGTAAAGGCCTTTGAACAAGTGAGGATCACTAGAACCTGCTTATGGCTGTTCTGCAGATTACTTCTCGTTATTGCCTGCGTGCTTGGTCAACCATTACGTTGAGAATATAGGTCCATGGGTTTGTCACCTGCACCTTCCTTATCCCCTCGGTTCCAGAAGTCTGAGTTTTTCCTGATCTCTCCCAGAATCCTTGAACATTGTCAGTAAACCTTCTCCAGATCCCCGCCTCATGCTGCAGCTACGAATGATGGAGAGCTTCTTGGCTGGAGACCAGAGTATGGAATGTTAGCGGAAATGCCTCCATGGATGTTCCCCTTCTGGACTCCGCAGTATCGTATTCCACAGACTCATCAAGGTAAAGGTTTGGATATCAATTGAGCACTTTTCCAGGACGAACCAGAGCTATCGAAATCTCAAAAGGTGGAGTTGCAGCTGATCCCCTAAAAGAGCACACAAAGGCAAATTGGTGAATTCTTTGTTTTAAAAATTCTCTCTTTTCAGCAGCGCCCCTCAGACATCACAAGAAAAGAAGGGTTCAGCGCATTCCACCAAAACCCCGAATCGTGCCAGGTGAGATGAAAGAATTTTGTTCGACAGCGTCTGGTAGAGCTCAGATTTTTACATAGTGCATCCAACTTCCACTTACACAATGGTAGAAGGGGGACCAGGGTCAGTCCTATCGTTGTTACTTTTCAAAAATTTTTACGACCCCCCTCCCCCAAGGTGGACTTGGTACGACCCCCTTTCTCGACCCTCGACCACCATATTCCTCTCTATAGTATTTAATTCTGGTACCACTCAACCCACCAAACTCCGCCCACTTTTCCTCCAAAAATGCCGTCGAGCGGGGGATATATAGCCGCTATGATACAGTGAAAATTTACCAAAATTCCCTAAATTTTAACCAATTTCCCCCACTTCTACCTATAGCGCTGAACAACGGCGAATTTTCTCCCATGCGCTCCCAACTCACCTAGCCTACTACTCGTGAAAACTCCACTTTCACCACAAACTCACATGTATTTCACGCGACTGAAGCGGATACGACCCCCCTCCTATAAACTCAACCAGGTACGACCCCCCTTGTTACTAGTAACAATTGAACAGGCCTCGATGACCCTCTGGGTGCCTCCGCGCACACCCACATCAGACTCCGCCCACCGCGCAAACCCCGCCCATTTCCATATTTATAGGAATCTTTATACTACGACACTATTACTTTTTTAATACTTTTGTATCAAAAACACATACATACATACACACATACATACACACACATGCATACAGACATACATACACACACATACAAACTCCGCCCACTTTTTTTTATTTTATAGAATTTTTTAGTACCACATACCTCCACTTCCCTTTCAACATCAACTTTTGTATCAAAAACACATACATACATACACATACATACATACATACATACATACATACATACATACATACATACATACATACATACATATCCATACTCCGCCCACTGTGACGCACGCTCCGCCCACTTACGTTTAGGCTTCAGCTATCCGAAAGCTTTATATATATATATATAACTTCAACACAATGCGAACTGGATTCTGTTAATAATCGAAAAATGTTTCTCTCCAAACGACCAATTCTCTATAAATTGAGAATTTTACCCTTTCAATCTCGCCAAGCCATCCATTACAAAAAAAAGGAATAAAAACGCATCACCGCACTAGAGATCTGCTTTTCTGTGGAAAAACTGGTCACAGCGGAGAAAGTGGGGAACGATAGAATAAGGGATATCCCATGATGGCTTCAATATGAAAAATCTCTCATCCAGAATCGTAGATGGCACTAAGGAACACGAAAGCATCCTCCCACTTTCCCAATCAGCCGAGATATTGAATCCTCAGCCTCTGCCTAGCGGAAGACTAACCGCTGCGTTGGGGAAACTTTGAGCTCCAGGCGTAATCTCTAAAACGGGATCCTTATTTCATGTGATCAACGGTAAAAACTTTTCACAAGGGCATTTTTCTGTGGCGGTTGAAGCCTCTTTCCGGATCTCGCCTTCTTTCGCTTCCCCTCAAGATTGTGGAGACATCTTGATAACGTACTACTGAAATACACGAAACCTTCCGTGGGTCGTGAAGCTTACTTCGGAGAGTCAACCCAAGCGCAAGGCTAATCGTTGAGCTGGAAATATTCTGGAACAGCATAATCTCCTCCTAATGGATATCTGCATACGACTTCTGAAAGTTGTTCTAATGTGAAATTCTTCTTTATCTGAAGCATTCCAAGAAAATCTGACTTAGGCCGATGTCAGACTTTGCGAATCGCGCGATTCGCTACTAGCGATTCGCGCGATTCGCTAGCGTCCGCGGTCGCGTTGCGGTACCAGCCAATTGAGTGATTCACTGGCCGCGACGCGACCGCAGACGCTAGCGAATCGCGCGATTCGCAAAGTCTGACATCGGCCTTATTGAGTTCCAAATGGGCATAAGAATATTTTGCAAAGAAATCATTATAAAGTGTTGATCATTTCAGAGAAAGTTTGGCACTGAGAAATATGAAAAAGCTGTGTCCGTTTAAAATGCACGACGTTCATGCTTCCCTCTCCCTTACCGTTCAAACCAAGAGTAACGTATTCCATCGTCGGCATGCGCTATTGCCACGATCATTTTTGGCAAGTTTCAGTTCCTCAGTAGAATCAGTTCTCCATCTGTGGAACGACTAGGAGCTGATCGTGCACGGACCCCCTCCAATGGAAAGTGGCTCGTTTTGAACCCGAAAATTTACCAGCTACGGTTGACTCCCGGGTTCTGATTCCGGTTGGGGAGCCAAGCTAACCTAATGCCATGATTGCGATAAAGCACTCCGCTGAATAAGACTCCATTTTTGTACTCTCGGGCAGAAACATGGTGTTGGCTGTGATGTCATACGATTTCAGGGCCTATGTATGGGCAAGTGATTGATTCCATCACTGGAACAGAAGCACTTCCACCGATGCCCACTACGCCGGAACCTATCGTACATCCTGTACAACAAAGTAAGTTTAGATGTGAAAGTAGTGTTTTTCCAAGAGTGACCGAGACCAGCCAAAATAGAAGGAGGAGTCGTAATGGATGATTTTCAAAAGGCTCTCAACCTTCAACACACCCTCAGGGACGGTAGTAAAGTGCCATAGACTGGGAGTTAAAGGTGGTGAACTACGGCCGTAACGGTGAATAATGAAAGGCGAGACAGCCAGATGACCCCGCTCTGAATGGCGAAGCTTCACTACATTCCTAGCAAAAGTCGCGTCGCCATGGACTTGAACCATGTAGTGCAGCGCCCATGAGCGCGACGTTTGCCACTGCACCACAACCTCGGATCATGGCCTAAATGATTGTACAGGAGTGAAATGCTCCCGGGACCAAGGAAGGAGCTATAACACGATCAATAAGTGGAACACTGCAGGGGACAGCTGATCACCTTATTGGCAGAAAGTTATCAATATTATCGATAGCTCCAGTGGCTTTCTTGCTGCCCACACTCAACACCTTCCACGTACCCCTTTCTTCCCTGCGCTCTGCGCATGGCAGGGACGGAGAGACGCTCAATGCGACCAATGCATGACGTGCAGAGAAAGGGGGAAGTGCATGGGGATTGAAGAGACGCAGATAGACGGCGACTAAAATGTACTCAGGGGTACATTTTAGTCGCCCTCTACATGG